CAGTTGTCTCTGTACTTTAAATAAAGAGGAATTATTTGACACTTACAATACTATTCAAGTGCATTAACTACAAGTAAATATGAGGATGAGTATAATAAATACTGTTTTAGTTGCATAGTAAATCAGTTATCACAGGTACTCAGCCACTATCCAAATCCATTATCTTTGATAGCATGTTGTAAGAAGAAATTAATACATAAAATATGAGATTACATCATTTTTATATAAAAAAAATTCACAGGAATTGCAGAACATTTTTCATTATTGAGATAAGATACTACAGATATAGCATTTCTTTGTGTGATTTCTTTCAAGTAGTCACCAAGAAGTAAGGCCTCACTCACATTTGATAAGAAGAAAAATAAAGCTAAAATTCACTGTATTTTGGAGGAAGAATACTATCAAATCTGTTATATTTTTTCCCCACAGGAGTGTGTAACCATGGCCATAAGGAGGTATCCAGGAGTTCAGTGCTGAAGAGCTAATGAAAATAAATTGGAGGAAGAGGAAAAATGAAAAGTGTTATTGAATTTATTTCAAAATGAACAGAAGTAACAACTCTGCTTTTAAGTTTTTAATTAAAAGAGTGCAAGAGACAAGCATGTTTTGAACTGTGGAAGGTCCTGTCGTGCAGTACCCTGTGTCAGCCTGTGTTTAGTTTAGTCCTGCCACGCAACAAGTGCCAAGTTCTCTGCTCCATCTTGTTGCCCCTGCTTTGGTTAACACTGAAAATGGCTTTCAAAACCAGAGTGAGCTTTCAAGCTCTGGTGTTTCAGCCTTACATAAACAGTTCCACTGCCTTTAAGGAGTGCCACATGTGGCATCCCCAGCATGGCACGCTGCGAGTAGGACATTTTGTCACCATAGGCAAAGTGATCAAATGCCTGAACTCCTTTCTAAAATGCCTTGTTCTCAGAATTAACACCCTTCTTCTAAGAGCTGAAAGAAAGGTTTTCCAGGTTGTGTCTGCAGCTGTGCTGATGCCTTTAGATCTCAGAAGCTGAACTGCACTCAACAAGGAAACTGATGAAGAAGGCTTTTCTAGCCACACTATAAGGAACACAAACTGGGCACAGCTCCACTTGGTTCCTTCTTTTCATTTTTAACTGAAACTTTTAACTACAAAGTAAAGACACAAAGGAAATAACAGAGCCAGGACTGGGATGACCAACTCCAAGTACAAATAAATCAGTGCTCTTCTTTTAAGGGTTTGAGCTGCAGCGAGGCTTAGAAATGCTTGATAAACAGAAACTGGAGTGTGAGGATGAGGAAAAAGAATAGGGAATAGAAGAATCTCTAAGTGTTTTTCAGATATTCTGGACCAATTCCTGTTGATGCTGCTTCACTGCTTCAGTGGAATGCAACCAGCTCAGAGCAGCACAGCACCTGGTCCTGCTGTTCAGTTCACACTTGGGAAAAGGAAGACTTGTTTTGCCTGTTACTGAGAAACATGTTTTCTCTGGGCTGAAGCACAGCAATTGTTAACAGCTTATACTATTTAGACACTGCTGCCAGACAACAGAAGGAAAATACACAATCCAAAAGGAATTGTAGACATCAAAGTGGAATAATTTGCAGTGAAAACTGGCAAGGGTCCTGTAGCGAAACTTTCTTTTAATGAAAAGTCCATGGAACCTTTCTGATATGTTTGGACCCTGTTCCATAATAGGATTCATTCCCAAAAAAATATGGAATTCTTTCTAAACTTAAACATGTACTCACCAATTGTTCTTTATTTCTTATTATTGTCTGTGGAGGAAAAAAAAGAATGTCTTGATTTAAATCACAGTGTCTTGTAAGTTTTTATATTATCAGTAGGTCCTGTTTGACAAATTCAGCTAAGCTGCAGGACTACTTGTCTGAGCAGATAACTTCTCACTTGTGATGAGCATAAGAGAGGCATTCTCTGTATACCTGCTGCTGAAGTATGTTTTTCTCTTGAGAAGAACAGCTTTGTTATGACTCAGGGCTGAGCTATTCAGGAAGAGGGAAAGCAGCACTTTGGGGCATGTGCTTGCAACACACTGGTCCTCACCTGGTGGCTTTGGTAGAACCAAAGTTTTAGGGACTAGAGACATAGCAACAACAGATACATCATCTGTCAGAAAGTGGGGCTGTCATTGCACTGGGGCTGTCCAGGTTGTGCCTTCTGTTTGTGACTTCCAGTGTACCCAATTCAAAGGCTGAGGTCTGCCAGATTGTCTTGGTGCCCTAGGCATACACTGATGTCCTGAACCCTGACAGCTTCAGAAACAAAAAAGATCCTCTTGAGTTTAACTTTCAGCCCATAAAAATTCAGATGAGCCCAAACTTTTTAGCCTTAGAAACATTTTGTGTTTTAAACATTTAGAATTTTGTGGTGCAAAAAAAGGTGAAAGAATGGTAATTCACAAATCCAGCACATCCATACTTGCTTTCAGCATGAAGGCCAATGCATGAGCTAATGGTGCATTGGGTTAGAAAGGCCAAATTATATCAATTCTGTAGCCCCTGGAAGCTGGTGATGTGGCAAGCATCACAATTAGCTGGTTTTGGGGTTTTTTCAAGTTGAAAAAAAAAGGCTAAGTCTGGTGGCCTTGGAGTGGACTTCAGTGCAAGGCTTGAAAGTGCATCTCTGGAATCTTAAATTCCACTGCTTGGACTGTGTCTGCATCATGTCATGGCAGATTAGGTTTACCTCCCTTTTCTGCTACAACATTTATTGCACTTTATGAAAAGGCAGGTTTTTGAATTAACAGAGAGTTTCTATGAATACAGATCAGTAACTGGAAAAGCCAAAAGCTCATCAGTAACTTCAGACCCCACCTTCTGTCTTCTGACTTGAAAAGAACAGGAGGAATCTCCTTCCTCTTCTTAATATAAAATTTCTAAATTTCTCTATTCATCACATGGCACTGGAACCACTTACCAAAATTTAGTTGTTTTGAAAAATGTATTGAGAAGAAAGCGGACACAGCAGTATCTTGGGACAAAAGAACTGTGAAATTAAAATGCAAAATGCTGTAATGGATTGAAGGCTACATTTGTCCCCATTTGACCATATACTACTCTTATTAGGATCAGTAAGACCCATGGATATACATTCAAGGAAAGAATTTGTTCTTCAGGTGTGACTTTTTAAAAAAAATTATGTTGGAAATAAAGAAATTCTATACTTACAAACTAAAGTCATCAGCAACAAAGTGGCAAACAGTCCTCCCATAAAATATCTGAGAACATAACAATACCCAGAAAGGTTAAAAAAAGCCAAGGGATGCATAGTGGGTTAAAAGAGGTGAAACCTGAGTGGGAGGAGGAGGAAGGGTTCTTGCAGATGAACCCTCTGAACTCTGGTAGGTGAACTGTAATTTGAAACTTTAAATTACGTAAACTATTGAAGATAATCTCCTGGCAAGAAAGACCTCAGCATTCAGACTGAGAGAAAAATCCACTTAGAAAGACACGGATCCATTCTGATTCTTCTCAGCCTGCCAAAACCCCTGTCAAAGCACACTTGGCAAAGTAGCTTTCATTTCTGCATACATACTTCTTATTTTTGTGCATATCTATATAGCTCAGATATTTGCCTGCATTGACTATCATGTGAAAATACATTTTCACAGTAAGATACATATAACTTTGAAAATGTGACCCTTAATTTAAGTTTTATTCACCAGTTGAAATGAAGCAAGCACTCATGTCAGAAACAGAAAATAAAAGAAATAAAAATTACCTTGTACATACTGAAATGATTAAACACATGATCAGTGCAACCATCTGAGAAATGACATTTTGCACTGTCCTGGATTCTAAAATAAAAATCAGGAAAATAAAGGGTTTTAATGAAAGTAAATATTTTACAGGAGGTGTTTGCAAAGGCTACCTGCAGCCTGTGAGACCAGGCTCTTCAGCTGCTTCTAAAGAGAACTTGCCTGGAGTGATTCAAAGCAGAAACCTAATTTTCATGCTCTGGGTGTCTCTCAGGAGTCTTTTCCCCCCACAACTACAGAAACACTGTGCCCTCCATGCTCTCAGAAAACAAGCCTTTCTGCATAATTGCCTGTTTTAGTTTTTGCTCCCATGCCCTTTCCTCCATTTTCCTTTTCACTCCTCTTTTCTTTTTTTTTTTTTCTGAAAAATGGGTGAGGGAAAGATGTGAATAGGGGGTAGTAATTGAATATAATTTTTAGGATTTTGTTATTTTTAATAATTTATTTAAAATATATGTTTTAGTAAATAAATTCTATTCTGCAAAGGGCCAGATCCATATTTTTAATGTATTTTCACTTCACTCTAAAAATGAGGCATGCCAGAATAAGAACATAACATACCTGCATTGCTCCAATTCTCTTCATTTGCATTTATCATAAATGAAGAGCAGGATTTTGAAGCACAAAATGGTTCCTCAAAATGAAGAAACTCATCATCTTTGGTGAGAAATGCTCCATTAGATGCTGGAATTTGCCTTTGTGACACATGGTTATTATATTCAGAAGAAAAGTCTGAATCACCTACAAGAAATGCATGTATAACTGAGATTGCACAGAAGAAGAGCACTGAGACTTTGTAATAATGAATTTAGGAATTAATTACTGGATCACAGGAGAGGTTGCAAATTGTTATGGGTAGGGAATTGGTGGGTTCAAATGTATGCAGGAGGAAATATGCAGAGTAAAGAAAAAATTGCATAGGGCATAACAGATGAAGTTATTGAAAGAGCCAGGTGAAAGCAGACAGTGCCAGGTATTAATTACACCAGAATAAACATTTCTGGTGATGACTTTGCATTCAAATTCAGTCAAAAAATGACTTTTTGGCACAGAGGTCTTTGCAGACTCATACTCAGTTGTAATGCCAGGAGCTCTGTTTATCCCTTAGAATTCTGTAGCTCATTCTGTCCTTTACCTGCACACCTTGGCAGACAGCACCTGCATAACTTCCAGAAAGAGATGCCCAATTCATGCTAAACACAGACTGCAATGTTGTATGCGCTGATTACCAGGTGCCTGATCAGGGCTTACCAACATCACTGTGACTGGCTTCTAGTTTACTGCATCCATCAGGCCAAGGATCCTCTACATGGGAGAAATCCATCCTGCTGGGAGTGGTGGAGCTGAGCCACGAGCTGGAAGCACTGAGGTTGAACAAGCTGTCAAGAGAGCGACGGATTTTCTTCCTTCGCCTGAATACCCTAGAAAGAAAAGATGTTGCCAAGGAATAGAGTTAATTATTCTTGTTGAGCAGGGACAAAGCTCTAAAGCTTGCAGGAATGACATGAAAGAACCAAGTTCTGGGTGCTGCTCCTGGCGCTGATCTTGACCCTGGGCACGTCACCAGGAGTGTCTGCTGCACACCACAATGTGTCAGGGAATGTATTAACAGCAGGGCTGATCATGCTCTTGTGATGCTGGGCACTGTGGTACCAAATGATATCACAGCTACTGCTCTCTGATAGTACTGTGAGTGCTACCTGTGATTTTCACTGCTGTATCTGATTTGGGGTAGTCTAAATCCATTGAATTCCAGGTTTTTTGAACTACATTTTACATACCTTTCTAAATTGTTGCTCTTCTGAATCATGAGATGTTTTTCCTTGAGTAAGAATTCTAGGACCAGACCTTTTTATTTTATATATATGTGTGTGTGTGTGTTTTAGACAAAGATATTTATACAACTCTGCACTAAAGAGTTTTTAGGTAGTAAGATGTGACTGAAAATCAGGTCATTTCATTCACTGCATTCTCTAAAGCAATTGGATGTTCCCAATCAGAAGTAATGCTGGTTTTATGCCGAGCAAAATGTAGACAGGCACAGATAGACCTCTAGGTAAGGCCAGAGACGTGGAGGCAATCGCCAACATGGAGTAAAATCTGCACATAATTCACTTACCGAACTAAATTCTCTTTATATGTAACACTGGTGTGGGATGGTGTCAGTGTTATGTTGCCCTCTCCATCAGACAGAAAACTGTCCTCTGTCAAAACATAATAACCATTGGAAAGCAGTCGAGGGCTGCGGCGGCACGCAGGAATGGAGCCTGTCAGAGGGTTTGTGGAGCACTCATAGGCAGGGTCATCATCCAAAAAGGCACAAGCACAACTGAAAAGGAGAAATGAAAGCCTCTAATTTAGGGAAGGTCTGGACAGGGCAAACCCATGATTTAATAGTAATGAATTTACATTTCAAGCTGATGGAGACTGGTAGTGACATAGATTTAAAATACATAGATCTAATGATATTACTCTGTACTGGGGGTTTCAGCCAGCTGACGTGTGCATCACATGTTCCAGAGCTTCAGATTTCAGGAGGGATACATGCCAGGGGAGCATTTCCTGAAGCATGGAGCCAGCTTGAGCTCAGAAGTGCTCAGTGTGTTTCTGTGGCAGTGCTCTTGGCCAAGGAGTCCTGCTGGACCTACACCGACCTGAGCCATCAGAGGCATCCCAGTATTTGGCTTCTCTGAGTTCCTCTGCATGGCACAATCTGGGTGCCCCGAGCCAGGCAGGATTTACGTGCTTTTTTATAAACTAGCCATACTTGGTGAAGATTTGAGGATGCATGACTTTTAATTCTCACAAATCCTAGAATGCCATGCAGCTGGAAAAACATGGGATAAAGCCCACACATTGTGACAGCTACATCCAGCACTGAAACACAATTGACTTTGGGATTAAATACAGCACAGAAAAATATATTCTCTGGTGTTTAAAGTAGAAGGGAGTAATGACAGAGGTGAAAGGATCTAAAAGTTGTAGACATTTTACTTAGTTAGACTAAAATTTAATTTATGGTTATACCTTTCCCCTTAACACCTCTGAGTTCCAAACTGCCATGTAGTGACATCATGGAAAGAAGGGAAGACACCAGATTGATTTAGTGTCTGACCTGTGTTTCAGTAAGAGGTTTAACTACCCCATATGGCATGTCACAGAGAGATACCATAATTTCAGTGTAGGGAAAAGCAGATGGAAGAGAGATACTCCAAAACCCTATAATTGCAAAGCCAGTGTTTCCAACCTCCACAGCAGTACTTCTGAACTTCCATTTAGGGCAGTAATTAAATTATTATCAGCACTACATTTCTCAGCGGCCCAAAAAGGACTTTTACAAAATCTATGTCAAAACACAAAAAAAAAAATTAAGCAAGTGTAACTTTTCCTAATACCTTGGAAAAATATGTCTTGAGAGGCTGTGTCTGTGCTCTTCATTAAATGGTGTTGAACCTGCAGAGGCAAAGGTGAAATAAGAAGGAATTTTTATCATATTCACTGTCAGATAGCTTTTGCATACCAGGAAGATAATTTAAAAAGTGCTAAAAATGAAAAGAAAATTAGGGGAAGAATTAGAGGAGAGGAGACAAAACATATGAAGGAATTGGGGAAAGACTTATTGTTTATAGGAAACTCATCTCAACCAGGACAACACAGAATCAGAGCCAACCGAAATCAGATATTTGTACTCTGCCCAAATAACAGACTTGAGAGAAATAATTATGGACACAAATAAAATAACTGCAGTAATTTTAAGATGTTTTACCAGAAATCTTCTTCATGCCAAAACTAGAACCTGAACTGGCACTAGATACAGAGTAGAATGGAAAGGCCACCATTACCACTACATTATATTTTTCAGATGAAAATTGCAGACATAGAACAATGAGCACAGGGATTGCTACAGTGACAAATATTTGACAGTAATATTGTGGCAGGAGATTAAGGAAATAGGATTTGTCTGGATTACCATGGCTTAAGTGTGCAAAGTGCTGCTGGATGTTCTGCACCTGACAGAATCAATCTTACAAAATATGAGCAAGGCCTATGCATAGGGAGAATTTATGTCTATTATTCCATAAAAAGATAAAATTTATGATCTTTCTCTATATTACCTTGTCTCTCCTGAATCTTTAGAGCTTCAGACTTACAACACTGTTAGTACATGCCTATCATTCACCTCTGAGAGGAGAATTTTTTAGTTTTGTGTTCAGTTATGAGCTGAGGCAAAGAAAAGACATGAAGGTCAGGGTTTCCACTTTGGTAATCTTGTTTAACTTCCTTGGGAGCTCAGTTGTCAGTCACAGACTGGGTGTGAAGGCTGACTCAGCCTTGGGACCAGGCAAGGTGATGAAAGAAGTAAAACCTTCAGGATATTTTTCACAAATCAGTCCCATTACCTTGGTCCCATACATACTGCTTCTCCTACCCTTTGGGAAAAAAAAAATCGCTTTACCATGAATGAATTATGCTGTAATGGCTGCAAAAATAACTTGAGAAGGAGAAGATAGACAGAATTTGGGGGAAGGTACAGAGAGATCAAGAAGCATCAGTCAGAACACCACAGAGCAAGTTGTACAAACAGTGGGACCAGGGGTGTATTTCATAGTTTGACATGTATTAGAGCTATTTTTAACATACAACTACCTCCTGAAATAATTTCTCTTATTTTAGACAAAATTATGATTCTTAAATGTGTAAAAAATCTTATATTCAAAACCAAGAAATGCATTCAAACTCTAGAAGAAGATACAGGAAGGACTCAACAAGCAGTTTGTAGATCTGGATATAAACCAAAACCAGCAAAATGCTAAGTCTTATCAGTCAAAAAGATTCCCTCCAAAAGGTATTTATTTTTATTAAAACTCTGACAAATGTATCCAAATGTATTTGCTCCTGGAGTTGATGCAATATGTGATGTTCCATACATCTTGAAAATGACTGTTTCATACACCCTAGGGTAACAGGGAATATAGATTATCTTTAAAAGAGTTTTAAAAGAACTGGAAGCATGTTTTTTTTTGTCTTGTTTAAAAATCAGGATGTGTAAGATAGTATCAGCAATATCGATCACAATATTAGTTATAATGTATTCTCACTTAGGCAAAAGTAACTGATTCTAGGGCAAATTTGTTTGTAAAGGATACATAGAAGTAGATGTCAGGATCAGTTATATCTATCACAACTCTTTAATAAACTGAGAGTGAAACTTTCCAGCAACTGAAACCCACAACACAGCTGTATTGCACACAATTCTTTCAGTTATGAAAATAAAAAGTTGCAATGTCTAAAAAAGAATAACTTTTAGGAGTGGCAGCTTTCCTGTGGGGTGGTGCTTTCACTAGAAAGTGTTGACACATGCTGATCGCAGTGGCAGAACAAACCACAGTCCTTCTGTTCCTCATTTGAATTCTCTCATAACTTTGCAAGGTATGTCTCTGCAGGATGTTTATTTGCCACCCTCCAGAGAAATAAAATTTAAGATAAAATATATTTATCTCTATAAAGGAAAGTGAGCAATATACATATGCAGATATACTACTGGGGAGGCAAGGCATTTCTCTCTTTTTGAGAACAGTTAATAAGCAGCTGTAACTTGCTTTTAAACTATTTTAAGTAACGATAATATCTGGCTTCTGTCAACAGTCATGGAACAGGCAGTCCAACAGATTTTTTTGCTGCCTGTGATCAGGAAAATTTTTGGCTCACGCATAATGAAGAGAGTTCTTGAAAATAATTCAATCAATGATGTAGAAAACATGGAAATATTATGTTGTAGACAATGCTGCACAGTGTTCTGCTTTCATTTAATATTCAGTCCTATTTCTGTACTATTAATAGCGTGAGAAGCCATAGTAATGACATAACAAAACAAAGCTTCTTGACCACCACGATACAATGGAGAGTGGTGCTGTGTCTGTACTCCATGAAACGAGCCATCAACACAGCACATCTAAACCATGGCATGAGGAAAAGCCAACAGCTCTATGAAATCGCACTAAAAGCCAATCTGAGGTGAATGTGGCAACATTTTATGTCATGCATCCAAATAAAAAATTAAGCCAGCAACCCCCCTTGGATTTCAAAACACAGAAAAGTTCATGTTGTAATATAAACAAAAAGTCATTGTGCAAACCAGTCAGTTTTAACTACCTTTCCCTCCAAAAGTCAAATTAGTGTTTAAGCCAATGATGCCTTCAGCGTACAATCTAAATATTTACATTAGCTTCTACCAAAATATTGTGCTAACTATTCAAACAGTTTTATTCTATTTTATCTACCAAACACAAGAGTCTACAAAGAGTTTTATTTGTTCACACATATCAGTTGTTTTTGAAGAGCAGCTTTGGCTTTTCCCCCTGCAGGTAATGGTAGCAACATTCACAAAACCGCGAAACTTCCTGAAGAGCAGCATAGAAATGAACCCAAAGCTTAGCTATTCCTCAGCTGGCAAATATATTAACAGATAAATAAGTCTAAAATCCTTCAAACCTGGAAAATCCATTTCACAATTAACACATGCGTGCAAAAATTTTCTCTTCATCAGCGGGAGAGCCCGTGGGACGGCTGGTGGGGGCTGTTCTGGAGCGGCTTCCTGGGAGAGCTCAGCCCCGGCTCTGCAAGGGCAGCTCTAGCAAGTCCCTGTTTCCTTTCGAAAACAGCCCGTGCAATCAGCGGCACAGAGCCCCAGTGAGGTCACGTTTCCTGTAAAGTCGCCTCACATCACAGGCATTTGTTCAGAAGAGCAAAGCGAAGATAAAGATTAGCCCAGGAATGCTCCTGCCGGCTGTTGCGAAAGAGAAGAACCACTACAAATAACGTCTCGCCCCAATGACCGTGCAGAGAACAAAGACAGAACATTTTCTCATCAGTGACACTGAATTTTGTTTCAGATTTGCTTTTCCACCTCACACAGAAACCTTTCAAGTTGTGTATACAAATAATTCCATTTGTTGAAGTACTTGTGAGCCTGGCAGGTTTTGATGTAAGAAAATGATCCAGTTAAAAAAAAAATTATAACAATACATTTTGCAAAAGCACTACTGTACAGAAGATACATTTGGGCAGCGTTCAGAGCTACGTTTCACACTGAAAACATTACTGCAAATATATGCCATGCAATGTCAATATAAATTCCATAGAAAGGAGGAAGGAATAAAGCCATTTGTAAACATAGTCATGGGTGCATGCTAAATGTTTCATACTCTGTAAGGTACCTATTCATCATACTTTAAAGTATAAAAAATAAAGTCAAATCCACATAAGAGAAATGGAGCCTGAGTAAGATATCCTGGCAATCAAAGGACTTGGCTACAGAACTATTACATGCAAAAGTAATATAAATCAGCTGCTTGACACTGAATTGTACAGCCTTAGGGGGTAACACTTCATCTCCAAATAGACAAAATGGTCTAGTAGTTTTCTTTCCTGATGTCTGTATGTATCACTGACAAAAAAATGAAACCATAAATCTAGTAAAATGTGATTAATTTTGTGATAGTTTGTGGGTTTCTTTCCCCTTGGAGAAGGAAAAATACTTCCACTGATAAAAAGAATGTAAAAAGCTCACCTCCCAGAAAAGGAAACAAAAATAGGAATTAAGCAATTGGGATGTTGCAAAAGATCTTCTGTTTGTGAGTTAAACTAAAATGAACATTTTATGATCCTTTTGGTCAAACATGAAAATAGGGACATAGTCCATCTTCACATCAGTTCTTTTAATTTAGTGGAATTATGTCAATGAGGGAATTTAGTCCAGCACTATTTCCATGGATGCATGGGCTTCATCACAGCAACATTTCCCTGGCCACCCTGCCTTTCTACAGGCAATGAATATAAATTCCCAATGATCTTTAAAACTAGGTCACTTACAGAAGAATTTCTGTACACACAGGAATTTACTCCTTGGGCATATTTTTTGTTTCTTTTCTTATTATTCTCAACAGGAAGAAGTTAATTCCAAGCTTGAACTGCTTTTCTGAAGGACATTGGCATTTCATGTTTGTCTATATAGTTAAAATATATTGTGTCTATATCATCATATTCAGGCTTGGAGGTGTTTTCTTTTTTAATCACTGCTATTTGTATCTGAAACTCACTGTTCCACAAGCCTTTGATGCATAAATCTCATGCATTGGTGAATATTTTATAGGTGAGTGCTCGACTATAGTTAATACACACACACACACACACACAATGGTTTATATACAGCTTTTTTATTCTTCACTCTGTAGCTCCTCAAATTTCCCATTCCACCAACACACCCTATCTCAACAATAAGCAGGTTTCAAATTTTACAAAATGAGTACACCAACAACTGACTGGCAGTAGTTTTATGCCTGTGGCACACATTACCATTCAACCCACAAAAGGAAGGAAATTAGAAATTACGATACTAAATACCACCCATATTTGTACTCTTCTCCCAGGCTCACTCTGCTTTTGATGCAACAGATTGTGCAGGGCCTGACAGACCAAGAGAGGTGGGGCTGGGGCAGCTCCATGCCTGAGGTCCCACCAGCATTGAGCCAGTGTTATAGATGGATAATGTGATGATTGCTCTCGCAGTTAAAAGATAACTATTGTGTGAATATTAATAAAAGCTTTAGTGATGTATAGTTATGTTATTGTGGTTTAGATGTCCTCTGTTCTCCCCCCCGTATTGTTGCCATCAGACAGCCGGGGTTGTCTAGGACAGGTACAAAGAAGCTGCACAGGTGTCCTTTGCATGGGACAGTTGGGAATGGAAAAGCTTGGTGCCTAGGGGGGTGGCGTGGCAACACTTGACCTCCAATCCAGTTACAAGAAAGGAGTTTCCACTGATAAATGGCAAAGAAGAGCTGACTGACAGACTTTGGGAGGGGCCAGGGCTGGTTGATGCAACTCCCTGGGGTATAAAAGACTGAGCAGCCATCTTGAAGATTAACTGGCCACGTGGTATGCATGAGAGGCAGTTCCCAGCGCTGCAGTTTTTTCCTTAGTAATCCTTTGTTATATTTTTGTAAAGGTTTAATAAACCTTTTTAAATTTTCCAAGTGAGCAGTTGTCTCTCACACCTGGGAGGGACACACAGAGTGCATTTATAACCACATGTTACACACATGGCTGGCAACACAGGCAACAGGCACAGAGAGCACTCCCACAGCACCAAGAGCCTCATTCTTCTCACCCCTCTGGCTGAACAGTGCAGGGATCCTCTAGTGAGGATACACACATCTGCACATGCCCCTCCAGCAGCTGGGCTCAGGAACTCTGCCCAACAGCTGTCCCTGGATCCCAGTCTCACCAGTTGCACCCACCTGGACATTTGAGCTCTCAGCCCACAGCCCAGCTGGTGGTGCAGACCATCACACACACAGGTACAGCTGGCTGGGATTGCCCAGGGCCTCAGCAGCCCACAGGGAGACACCCCAGCCCATGGGTGTCCCATGCCCCAGGCAGCAATCCTGAGGTGCTCTGGGATTAAATCATCTGGGTAGGTTCCATGCCTGGCCACGAGGGCTGAGACTCCTCTGGGATAGTCCTGGGAAAGGCCCAGCAGACAAAGTGTCCCTTACTCTGAAATATTCCCACCTGCCTTTGTGCTCCCAGGCTCCTCTGGCTGATCAGAAAGGTTTTTGATGGGCTGATGCCTCCTGGAATGCAGGGAATTCTTTGGGCTCCTTCCCCCACTGCTGTGCTCCCACTCCCCCCACTCTGAGATCCCCTGTGAGTGTGCAGATGAGTTTTTAGCTCATATTGCACCATAACTTTGCCATCTCAACAGCCAACTGCAACTCAATGCAGAGTACTGTTCTGCTAAACACACAGTTTTCAGGAAGGATATTTTCTGGTAGAGTGAATTGAGTGGCCATGGTGGAGAGAGTGGATTGCTTATTGATTGAATGTAACTGAGAGTAATGTGATGCTCCTGTAACTCCCTTTGAACCTCCTGGAAACCTGACAACCTTTAATTGTCCACCAGCTTCAGTAACCATCAAATCAGGCCATTTTCCTCTATCACAGGTCTGTGTCAATATTGTTTATATAGTACTCAACAGTAAAAAAAAAAAAAAAAAATTCTTGATATCTGAAAAATAATTGAAAAAAATTTAAAAATCCAGCAGGGGAAAGGCTGGTCATGAGCATCTCTGAGCAAAATGAAGGACCCAGCATCTCTGGGTCAAAATGAAGGTCTATGAAACTCTCCTTGCCTGCAGTCTTGCTGCAGGGCAAACTAGGACCCATTTTCATTCACCTTTGTGAATGATAATGTTTTAAACTAAGTGCATTCCTTTATGCAGCAGAAACACAGCAATATTTGAGGGGCTCTAGTAATTAAGAAAAAAAAATCTCACAAAACTAGACATTTTATTTCAATTTTAAGAAAAGGCTAATCCTGCATTTAGTTAGAATTTTGGTGCAGGTTACAGAATTGTCACATCATATATGATTTTAATAACCTTATCAGGTCAGCTGTATGAACAAAGATTAATTAGCCTGAACAAAGATTAATTTGCCTTGAAGTGGAAACAAATCCATTTTTAATGTTATCACATGGAAATCCCGTCACACTCTATCAGAGACTTTCTGAGTTTCAGGATTGATTTTTGCCCCCAGATTCATTATTTTAGCTTAGTTGTTCTGCAAAACAGGCAAAAAAGGACATTTCTTGGTGGAGTAAAAGGGCATTTCTTGGCATTTGTAAAAGGCATTTTTAAAAATTTTTGTAAAATTTGAAAAAGGGCATTTCTTGGCATTTGCATGGTGGAGTATAATGAATAGACCTGTAAAATTTGGAATTAGCTCTGAGCTTGCTGATACACCCATACTACTTAGATCTCAAGAGCTTACCTCCAATAATGCAACATCAGCTACCTCTGTATTATACAAGACACAGTCCAGATAGACAAAAACTGTTTAAAAAGGATCTGAATCAAGTCAGCCTGTGATGCACAAAGTGAAATGTGAGATTTCTCTGTGCAAAGCCATGACCAGGCTATGTTGTATCTCCTTGCTTCTTGATTATATGGTACCATGGAGAAATTTCCTTGGTATCAGAACCTGATGTAGACATGGGAAAATGCCACATCATGATACAAGAGCAGTGTAAAAATAGGCATGGGAAAAATACAAGAAGTGCTTCCATTAGAATCTGTAACTCCCCCACCCTGCATCTGAAAATACTGCTTTAAAACCCATTTTATCAGAAAAAGAAAACAAAAGGAAGAGATTCAAATCCATCAGCCGAATTTAGAAAATCCAAAGCAGAATTTAGCCAAGGTTTCTAATAAAACATAGGTGAGTCCTTATTGGAGGCCTCCATAAATTTCCTCATGAGAAGATCTGACTGTTACTGAACAAGAAGGTAGGAATACTAAAAAAAAAGCAACAAACACACAGATCTATGCTAAAAGCTGTCTGGCTCGATTTTATAAAGGATGACAAAAGTTCATGAGTCAGCACACTGCAGTGTCTGCTGTGACTACAAGCAGCCAGGGCAGAGTCAGCTGTTGGCCAGTTGTGCTCCAGCAGCATCTGATTTGCAGATAATAGAAATATTAATGCACAGATCATGGGCCTGAGCAGAGCATGAGTGGGAACAGGTTTGAGGTGATGTAGGAGTGGTGTACACCCATGGTTCCTAAGCTCACAGGCCATCACACTCCAGCACACATCTACATTTTAGGACACACAGACTGAGAGGGAAAGGACAGGGACTAAAGCAGGTAGGACAGTGTGGGGACACTCTAA